AAGATGCATGCAGCTATCAGAGATTCTTTTGCCTTGGTGAATTCATCTCTCAGTAAAGGAATGTCTGCTGCTATACTAGAGGTACAGTATAAAATCAATTTTGTCTGCGTGTGTGCTATTTCCAGTGACTTCATGTATTAACTCTTCTGTGATTTTTTTGCTGGGCTAATTTCACTCAAACTTGGCAGGCACTCGAGTTAGGTGGTAAAATCTGAAAAAATTCCTGGCCCACTATTGCCATGGCAACAGCCAAAAAATGATTTTTGAATAGCTTCGCACCAAACGTACCTCAGGCTCCTCCTACAAATCCTGGATTAAAGACCCCGGACACCTACCCAACTTGAGTGTGGGCACAAGGCTCAGCAGCTTTTTAACTCTTTTGTGATTTCTTTGGCTGGGCCGCTTTTGTTCATACTTGGTAGGCAGGTCATATTTTCACTCTAGTTGGGTGGTAAAATTGGGAAAAAATTCTGGTCCACTGTTGCATGGCAATGGCCAACATTGTTACAATGTATCAACGTCCAACAAAGCTTTGAATGAACTGTAAATACTGAGTTCTATCAAAGAATCTGGAAATTACAATTGCAAAACAATAAAACATAATAATTATTATACCAGCTGAATATGTTCTGGTAATAAAGTGAAGTAACTATTCTTTTTCTTGATGCAGGCTATGGATTTAGGTGTGCCAGTTATTGTGAGGGACATTCCAGGTAATGCATCTATATGTAAACACAACGAGACTGGTCTTTTGTACAACACTCCCGATGACTTTGTTATGCAGTCAAAAAGACTTCTAGGCTGCAAAACCTTACAGCGAAGCTTGACCAAAAATGCGAAAGTGTATATAAGACAGGAACATGGTGTGTTGAAGGAAAAAGAAAATTATACAAAATTGATAAATTCATTATTACTGTAAGAATGCAGCAGTGAACATCAAGATATTTAAACAGTGAGTCCCAGTCAGACTATCTCGAACAAACTCCCTATACATGTGGCTAAAAGATTAAGTTCCGTCCATATGTGTGTGCTTATAAATTACCCCAGCATAAATCCTATTTACACATTTTGTTTTTGAAGATTACTGGATTCAAGATGGCTGACTGGCATTCATTTTCTTCCTAGCAACCAACTGTATCAGTATAGACTAGATATTTATTATCTATGCACATATTGACCAATGATGGCAGACTGATATAATCATTTTGTTTTTAAAAATCAAAAGTGTCAAGAATACACTAGACTATGCAAATTCATAATATGCTTTTTTTTGGTGAGTACATACACATGTACCATACATTCCAGATTTTAGTAAGTGACAATTAATCATTATAGAGATCTATCAATCTGATTAAAATCTGAAGTATTGTACAGCGTGTATTTTATTTTATATATATCTATTTTACTATTTGTTTTTGTTATTTTGTGTTACATACTTTGTGATTCAGTATTATTTTAACTATTGCCAAAATTCTTATCCTGCCAGCAAATAATTAATAAATTAAAATAAAGTAAAGAACATGTATAATAAAAATAAATAATTAAAAACAAATTAAAAAAAACAAAAAACATTTTAATCAGATTGACTATCTATTTACCAACATGGTATATATTCTCAATCAAATTGAAATCTGATGCAAGAATTTCCTCAGTCATTTTTACTGGAGTGTTAGTCATTGCTGTTACTCTGTCTGTTTCACTGATATCTCCATGACCTATAACCTATAATGCACAGCTTTCTTTGATTTACATTGTTATGCAATATACCGACCGGTACATGTAATCATTTACAAAGTAAGTGAAAAATGTTTGTGTGTGAAATTCATCTATTTTATATAATATGCTCTATTCAGTTGGTGTACTTTGATACATCATTTTAATATACGATGTATAATGAATACAGTTTGTGTGAAAATTGTATATTTTATATAATGTGCTCTATTCAGTTGGTGTGCGCAGGCGTGCATTTGAGACATCATTTGATGTGTACTTAATGAATACAGCTTGTGTTAATAAAAAATATGTGTTAACTTAATGAGTTAGCTCTGTCATTACTTTTCTGCTTATGGGGGTGTATCTGCTTTTTATTTGTCACGTAGTGTTCATTAATTTTTAATATTGTTTAACAATATGAATGCCAATTTTTTTGAACTAGTCAGTTTGAACCAAATTCAAATTTTCCACTACTGAGCATGTTTATTGCACATGCAATGCATTATGGGAGAGAAGTTCCCATTGTATATGGGTAATAGAAAAATAATACTAGAAACTTAGTCAAGTTTTTGAGATATTAGGACTCGTATCAATAATAACCTTTTTATCTTGTGCCACCAAGCAAAATATATATGAAGTAATCTCATCATAGAAAGTATGACAAAATTTGACTATTTTCCATAACATTTCAAAATCTTCAAAACATGACATATACTCTTTAAGCCAAAAATAATAACTTTATTGCCTCTAGCTGTGTAAAAAGATTTACATAGGATAAGTACAGCAAAAAAGAGTTTTAAAATAATAAGATATATGTATGAATTGTACAAAAAACAAAACAAAAGAACAATTGAAATACTGAAATAATTTGGGTTATAATTTATGTAAAATACATTGCTCGTTTACATGAGTTCTGAGAATTATTTTGACAACTTGCAACTTGAGCATAATTCTCAAAATGGCTGTAAAATTCAAATTTGTGGCAGGTGATGTCAGATACTGAATGAGTACCCCTCTTAAATGGTACAAAGTTGCTCCACATAATCATCAAGCGTTCATTTATTTAACATCTACCCGGTAAAGTAACTGAGGTCTTAGAAAAGATTTAAAGTGTGTATAACTTTGATATCTTGTATGTAAAGTGATTATAA